GGGAGAAATTACACTTCAAACTTTACATCAATTGATTCCTTGCCAAATATTTTCGTTAACCATCGCTGTGAAATGACAGAAAATATTTTCATAATCAACTGTGATGAGCTTATAAATTGATTCTCGGCCCGTCATTCATCGAGTGTGTCGTGTATCTGCTAAATAACCGCAAATGATATAATTTGACCGGGGAAGTTTTTAGGATGGGCAAATCTTTATATTTGCTCGATACGATACATGAGTTAAGATATACTAAATTATCAAATAGGGGATCATTTAATTAGATGACGGCTGAATATGTCAGGGTATTCCGGTATATTTATTTCTTTTAGTAAAATTTGTCTGGATGACAGATCTCCGAATGTCATTGATATTATTAGTAACTGGTAGCAATAAAAAAAAAAAAGGTTTGAATGAGCCACTGCTCTAGGTTTTTCAATCTCAGGATATTGCATATATATATCGTTTATCTTCTTGTGGAGTAATGGATAACGGCTCGGATTGACGAATCGGAGAGCCGAGTTCGAATTCCAGTTGAATCCATTACATTCCCTTACGTGCTAATACTCTTGGTATGAATCCTCGTCTTCTTCGTCTAGCTATGGGTAAACAGCAGGACATACTGGGTTCTATAGCCTTGGATGGCAACTGGTCTAGTGCAGAATCAAATGGCAACCTACTGCGGAAACAATCTGCCTCGTCAGTCATGTATCGAAAGATACATGATCGCCTAAGCGTGTATCATGTATGGCACAAACTGGCTGATCGTCTTGTTATATGCCGTGTCCTTTCAACCCGTGAGCAATCATGGCTTTTTATATCTTCCTAACCATTGTAGCTTGACATTTTTTTCATCACTCTTCTCATGTTCTGTTTTGTCGTCCATTTAAAGTTATTAATTCGGTGTACTCTTTTGTTTCTCTTGCCTTGAGTATTTCCTGTCAGTGACAAATTATTCAAGCCAATTTTCTTATGTCCAGATTGTTTTAACAATTTCTTCTTAATTCTTTTTGTTCCTGTTTTCTAATAATTTTTTCGTAGTTTACGTACCCCAGGCATGATATCCTCAGTATTCTTCTGTAGAACCACATTTTTGATGTCTCAAGTTTTCTCTTCATGTACAATGAAATTATCTGTTGTGACCAAATAATTGGTTAAGAAATAACACGACAAGAGGTTGCACATAAATAGTGCATTGAACGGTAAATACAACAGAAGAATGTTACACGACTTGGGATAGTGTGTAGGTTGACCAGCGTTCAGTCTATATCACCGTTATATTCAGTGATCCCCCCCCCACGAGGGCACATGTGGAACAAGGCCAAGTTTAACGTAGTCAAAAAATCTACGTAGAACCCGCATAAACAGGTTCGAGTCGGTCTACCACCCCGGACGAAACTGTACCCTTCGGCACATCCTCGTCCGAACTCCTCTCTGCCAAAAGCAGAGACTTCGACAGGAGTTGCGAACAGTCACAGCCTCGGAAGAACAGTCTATATCACCGTTAATATTTAACAGCCCTCAACCACCATCACCACCACGAGGGATGTATGTGGCACGAGGCAGAGTTTATTATTCCCTTTGAACCCGTATAAATGGGTTCAGGGTCTGTCTACTACCCCGGACGAAACTTTGCCCTTCGGCAAAGCCTCGTACGTGTTACTCTCTGCCGAGGCAGAGAGTTTGACAGTTAAACGGGCTATATCACCGTTAATATTTAACAGCCACCCTCGGCCACGAGCGATGTACATAGGACAAGGCCGAGTTAATCGTGGGTCCTCCGAGCCCGTAGAGCCTCAGCCAAAATTATTCCCTTCGAATGCGTATAAACGAGTTCACGGCCTGTCTCCCTCCCCGGTCGAAACTTTGTCTTTTGGCAAAGCCTCTTCTGGGTTTCTCTCTGCTCAAGGCAGTCAGGTCTACTGTAATGAACAGTTTGGCACCGTTATATTTAACGCCCTCCACTACGTGGGTCGTATGTGGCACAAGGCCGAGTTGATCGTGGATTCTCAGAGCTCGTAGGCTCAGCCATAATTATTCCCTTCGAACGTGTATATACGGGTTCACGGCCTGTCGACCTCCCCGGTCGAAACTTTGCCCTTTGGCAAAGCCTCGTCTGGGTCTCTGTTCAAAGCAGTGAGGACTACTGTAATGAACAGTTTGGAACCGTTATATTTAACGCTCCCGCCTACGTGGATTGTATGTGGCACAAGGCCGAGTTTATAGTGGGATTTCCAAGGCCGTAGGATCGGTCAAAAATATTACATTATAACCCGTATTAACGGTACCAGGGCCTGTCTACGTTCCCGGACGAAACATTGCTCTTCGGCGAAGGATCGTCCGGTATCCTCACTGCCGAGGCAGATAGTTTGACAGTATTGTACGGTTTGAAGCACAGTTATATTTAACGCCCCCACCCCACCCCACGTGGGTCATATGTGGCACAAGGCCGAGTTTATCGTGGTTTCTCCGTGCCCGTACTCTCGGCCCAAATAATCCCTTCGAGTCCGTATAAACGGGTTCAGGGCCTGTCTACCTCCCCGGACGAAATTTTGCTCTACCGCAAAGCTTCGTCCGAATTCCTCTCCGCCGAGGTGGAGAGTTTGACAGTCGAATCGACTGTTCCACCGTTTCCCCGAGGCTTTCTTTTCCTACTACTTCATAGTTAGTCCATACTTTTTCTACTTCTTTTTCTACTACTTTATAGTAAGTCCATAATAGACTCATTACTGGGAAGGCACTATACCATTATCTAACATCCGTTGCCATATACGAGGATTGATATCACATTCTAGTTCAGCACTCTTTTCTGTGTTTCTAACGAAATGTTTTGGGATCATGATACTTCTTCAGCTTTTGGAAGGAATCTTCTACTTTTCCAGTGTAACATCGGAACGTTTTTTTCTTATTTATCGCGGGATAAAGAAAAATCAGTTTCTACAAATGAATGAACAAAATTTAAATGAAAGAATTAATTTTATTTGATTATTTCCCAATCAGCACGAGGAGATTCAGAAAAGAAAGTTCGATATGACAAATAGAATCAGAAACTTGTTGTTTGATGGCCGCCGTTAGGAGGTACCCCTACCCAAGATACCACATCTCTGGCGCCTTTTTATGATCAACGATAAATTTCCACAGGTGAACAATCGATTTTCCGACACTTTTTTGGATTATGCAGTTGTACAAAAACGAATTTTACTTATTTATAAGTACGATATCTGTACGAAATTTTACTTATTTACATTTGGATTAATGTCCAAGTCTTTGTTATTACCTTACGGTTTGGCTACTGTTCCCTCGGACCTTCTTAAGGTGTCGGTATTGAAGGTGAGGTGCCGATTACATGATAGACTTGTATAGTAATTTCTTAACATTGCTTTTTATTTAATTCCTGTATTCTTTAGATTATTCTCGGCTTACGGTATCCCAGCTTAGGTACGTGGATCTAACATTTTGTCTGCGATGTATGTGAAGCTGACCAAATAATCACTGGTTGAACAGGTTGCTTATATATCTAACTGTCCAATGTTCAACGATTGCAAAATCCAGATGCAGGCTTGTAGGCGGGAGTAACCTCAGGTAAAACACATGGTACACAACGTTTCCATTATGGTACGGAGTGAAATTTCAGCGAAGTATTTCTTCTGGCAGAATACTATATGTCGAAGTTATGAAGTTATTCATAAATTTCTTTAACGTTTCTCTGTCTTCTTCAAACCATCTTTATGACTCTAGACCCGTTTCAGATTTGCTGATTTAAAGCTTCAAGCTTTAATCCTGTCTAATAATTAAAAAGTTTGGAATTCAGAACATGAGAAATTTCCAATTACAAAACAGCAATTATATTAAAATTGAATTAGACGATCTCGACGAAATGTTAATATAAATGAAAAAGAACATAATGCTAATCCTAAATAACTAACACAAATAACCTTAAACATATCCACCTAATATACCGCAATCAAATACACGCTAACTACAAACAAGCTGAAAAATCCTAAAAAAAAACTCATAGGTACTAATATATCCCCTATTGATCCCAGTAAAAAAAATAAAACTAATTATATACTATGCTAAATTTAATACAACCAACTTAATCATCCACAATAACTCTTATCCGTCAACTAATATTTTGCAAAAGACCAACATTGTATAGCAGTTTAAATGTCCTTTGGAAGATTGTACCTTTGACGAAATAGTAAACATATATCTTGGTTTCACAAGATCAACATTATCAAAAAGGCTTTGCAAGAATATCCACGTTGGAAAACCACCCATAAAGTCGCAGATGTTTCAAAAGAATCCAGAAGCGAATAAAAATAATTTCACTTCATTTAGACTTTTATTATATTTTACAACGAATAAATTACATCTAGAGTCGATTTGAACTCATTAAGAAAGGACTTATACATATACATATATAGCCAATACATCTAATAAATCAAAAAGCGTCAATTGGTTGAAATTAAAATTTACAATTTGGCACATTATTCATATATAATATGAATCCTGGCAGATAAATTGTTTCAAAGTCGTCAAAGACTTGGTCTAATTAAGTATCTGGCATGGGGAAACATTTTTAGGTTTTCTTAAAATCAAATTAAAAACTGTCAGAACTTTCCAAACAAATAAAATTTATTGGCAAATCGACTGTAACTGTTGCGCAGTCACGGTTGATTAATTGTGCATTAAAGTTGTGAAAAAAACTTTAATTTTAAGCTGAATCTCTTTCTTTAAACTTTCTTTTCAGATTGGTTCACTCTGAAAATAACTATTGCACTTGTCACCTCACAACTTCAAATTGATTTAAATATAACGCAGTTTTTGCATCAGAAGATATGTTTTTGACAATCGTCTTCTGTCAGTGAGACAAGTAACTTAATATTATTCTGAAATCGACTGGGAAGGAATCTGTAGCATCGAGTCGAATGTTTGAAAGCGGGCAATATGCAGAGTAAAAGCTGAAATCAAGATAAAGTGCTTTTTTTTTACATTAGCCACATGCACCACATTTAACCCTTACGTAACATTTCTTCACGATTTTTCTCTCACTATACACATCTTTCTTTCTTTTTCTTTCTTCTTTTTCTTTACATCTTTGTTTCTCTTTGTTTTATTTTGTTTTTCTCTTTTTCTTTCTTTCTTTCTTTCTTTCTTTCTTATTCTGTCTTTTTTCTTTCGTATTCCTTCTTTTTCTCTTTCTTTTTTATTTTTCTTTCTTCTTTCTTATTCCTTCTTATTCTTTCTTTTTTCTTTCTTATTTCTTCTTTTTCTTTACCTCTTTGTTACTCTTTGTTTTATGTTGTTTATTTCTTTCTTTCTTATTCTGTTTTGTTCCTTCGTATTCCTTCTTTTTTTCTATTTCTTTTTGTTTATTTTTCTTTCTTTCTTTCTTTCTTTCTTTCTTTCTTTCTTTCTTATTCTGCCTTTTTTCTTTCGCATTCATTCTTTTTCTCTATTTTTGTTTATTGTTCTTACTTTCTTTCTTTCTTTCTTTCTTTCTTTCTTTCTTTCTTTCTTTCTTTACACACTCTCACACATTGGGGCAACGGTATTGACGGCGATAAATGGAATCAGCAAGTAATGTAACATGAAATCCCTTAAGAAAGGCATGAAACTATCTCTTCCGTCCACTTTTGGAATATATATATAGAAGGATGGGTTTTCTCCGAGAATGGCAACTAGGAATTTTAACTCACTGACTACACGTTACATGACAGATTTAAGACCCACAATTCCACAACATGGCAGAAATTGACACCAAAGGCCATCGCCGGCTCCCTACAGATTGTGCGGTAAGCCAGCATGAAGCTTTTAGTCACGTTGACTCTTTTAGAAACAGCATTTTTCTTAAAAACAATATTCTGAAGCTGCCATTAGGCTTAGAATACTCTGCCTATGTGTCTAAATATTACTTCTTAGAGAGTGAATTTTTTATAGGCACACACATACACACATACACTCGTATATATATATATATATATATATATATATATATATATATCAATTTAAACGTTGTTTTTAGTGGATACTCGTATTTGAGTAGACTCCCTGTTTATTTATTAAAAGGTATATTTATTTTTCGTATAACGGCCATGGGAATGCAATTATTTATTTTTCAGCATAATCTCAATGCTATCATATCTGGAAAAAATACTAGAATGGTTAACATCATACAGTGAAATTTTGTATGTCAATATACAGAATATATATAAATTTAGCTCTAAGTTAGTGAAGATAATACATAAATATATTTCTTTTACCATAAATTTTATTGCAAATTTCATTAAATTTGCCTTTCTTCCTATCGGAAAATTTAACGAGTGAGAATAAATTGAATTAACCAGGGCGATTTTTTTAAAAAAGTCCTCATCTCTCGTAAACACCATTTCCATCGTATGGTGTCAGGGTTATAATTTGATCATTCAAAGTCGATGAATGTTCTAATTATTGCGATTTCATGGACAAGAGTTTCTTTTAATGTTACTAGTCCCAGCCTTGCAGTTTCAAAGTGAAGTGTGTATTTATGCACAACAATGCTCTTTCTCATGTCTTTACCCATGAATTATATGAGGGTAAAAGATTTACATAAGTCAAGATATTAGAATGACAACCATTAAAAAAAAATGAACAAAATCAATGGATAATAGACTGCTGGTTGTTATCGAGAAGAAGGGTCGCTATTTTAAGATGTAAATGCTTCATCATGTAAGAGTCCCTCTTCTAGATTTTTTTTGTTTTAATGCAGGCGTCGCCAAGTGTAAAATTTGTTAAGGATATCAGTTCTAAAATAAGTATCTGTAACTTATCCTACCATTTAGCTCTATTTGGAGCAATACTTATTCTAATCAATCCTCCTCATTCACTGAAAGAAGTTGATAGAAAATTTCTCTGCAACCCCATTACATAAACATCATCAAGAATTTCGGTGAAGTCTAGTTCGTTATTGAAGGTTTACTGTGTTTGCGCTTACTATCTCTTGCCTTTTTTCACGTATATGTCAGTCATTGATTATCGCACTAAATTCTCAGACGTAATGACCGTCCAGATCAACTTTGGGCTAGATCCAACAGAATAATTTCACATGACGACATTTTTAAGTATACGTGGGTGTAATCATTGCTCAAGAGGATGAAGATCGTATAGTGTCAATCTTTTATAGCCCACTATGATTTGAGTCAGTGTTTTAAAATGATGCATTTTAGCTGATTTAGAATACCCACACGCTTCGCTTGAAAAAAAAAAGGACAACTATCTTAGGTAGTCAGTTCGTTTCAGGTTGCGCATTCATAAACCAATATAGAAATAATAATAAAGTCAGATTGATTTGAAGGAAGCAAACCTATGGGTTAATTGCTTTATCGAGTAAATAATTGGATCGGATCAAGCCTTTCTAAAGACAGACCAAAATAAACTATAATTAAGCATGTACATTAATCAGCTCGAGTAATCGACCAGGTGATCATTACCGATGCGACAGGTAATTGAACCAAAATATAAAGAAAAACAAAGTTATTCAATAAAAGAAATCAGTATATTTTTATCGAAGTTGTACACATGTTTAATTTAGAAAAAAGAGAGAATTCGTTATTTAACAGAACCGTTCTTATCAGAGAGGATGGTCATGTTACGACTTTCTAGTTCATGTTCGATGTAGGTGGTAGTATTAACCTTGAGGCCCTTTTGGAAGAGATAGTGCAACATGACCATGCTCAAAAACGGTTACAAAAGACGTGAATGTTGTTTGCATCAATATGGACAACCCTGTAAAGCGGAAGTAGGGAGGTCAGAGTATTGTAACAATTGACCTGAGCCCTTTTAAGAAGCTGATTATCTTCGCGTCGGTTTGGCTGTGTTAAATTGGAAAATAGAGAGAGCTCTCTCTCCTAATGTTGCTGCTGCAGTGCTGTTCAGTTACTTCATGACATGGATAATAGAACAGTGACCCTCAGTCCCTGTTCTATTACCCCATTTTTCCAACTCCACTACCATCCACGTTGGAATTTACAGTTATCCTTTTATACTATTTACATTATTCGGACTATTGTCCTCATCTTTGTCGGCATATTTATTACAACGTTTAAGCCTTTCAGTATCTGTCTATATTTCTGAGATGAGGTATTATGTACACTGTTTACATTATTCGGACGATTGTCCTCATCTTTGTCGCCATATTTATTACAACGTTCCGGCCTTTCAGTATCTGTCTATATTTCTGAGATTAGGTATTATGTACACTATTTACATTATTCGGACTATTGTCCTCATCTTTGTCGCCATATTTATTACAACGTTCCGGCCTTTCAGTATCTGTCTATATTTCTGAGATTAGGTATTATGTACACTATTTACATGATTCGGACTATTGTCCTTATCTTTGTCGCCATATTAATTCAACGTTTCGGCTGTTGTACGCTCCGGACTTCTTCAAGTGGTTGGAATGTTGAACTGAACCCTTTATTTCGCTCACTGGCGTAGACTGTTCTAGTTCCACGTGCCATGTTTAATGGATGTCAGTTATCAGTTATCTCCTGTTAATTTCCCTCTAAAAGTTCTCCACTGCCTTAACCGATATTGAACTCATACTCTTTAGGTCTTGTCACTGGATCTAACTAACGCCTTTATCCACCGTGCCATGTATCCTTGAGGACATCTGGGTATGAATTTCTTGGTATTATAAGCCTAATGTCTTCAGCAACAATTTTTACCAGTGCTCAAATTGCAATTTTTACTGTTATCATTGCATGTTTTTTACTAGAGCTCATATTGCAATTTTTATTGTTATTAACGCTTTTCTCTGGCACTCCTTATTACTGGTTCCGATATTGTATTCATTTCTAGGAGATATTTGTTGCCTAGCATATATGCTGATTCGAATTTTCCAAAATTGTTCTTTGTCTATGATCTCAACCTGATCCCACAGAGGGTGGGATCTCCCTTTTCTCTCCATATGTGGTCAGCCACACCTGATTTTCCATTTCTCCTTGTGTTACAACTTTCTGGTGTTCTTGAAACCTTAACTTAAGGGGGCGGCCTGTCTCCCCTTTATATTTCTTTCCGCAGATACCCCCTTAAGGTAAGGCTTCAAGAACCCCAGAAAGTTGTAACATGAGGGGAAGTGGAAAAATCAGGCGTGGCTGACCACATATGGAGAGAAAAGGAACAAAAATGAGGACAATAGTCCGAATAATGTAAATAGTCTACATAATACTTCATCTCAGAAATATTGACTTATCCTTTTATGTTTATGAGAAAGCAATTTTGAATATTCGACCTTGAAAATAGTGCATTGCATTGATGCGTGTTAGATATTTCTTGTTGGTCGATGCTCCACGGTTGGGTAGACCTGATAGGAAGTAATTATTTCAAAAGAATCCAAGTTTTACAACACGGTAGATTTAACTATATACTCAAAATATGCAAGTCAAGTGTTCCATAGTATTTTGACAAGGATGGTGATATATATATATATTTTTGCTGTATGACTCTATATAAATGTTCAGTTTCTGGAACAACTGTAACAGACAGTGAAAAGTAGATACTTTAAAACAACGTGAAACACCTTAAGAGATAGGAGGACAAATGAACTGAACCATCACCAATGAACCATACATCATCCAAGGGCTTGATATTGTGTATATAATGGGTTTATCAAGAAACCTTCTACGATAAATTCCAGCAATAAAATGAAAGGATTGGTTTGAATAAATACTTTTCAATAAAAGAAATTGAAAGTAAAATCGACGAGAAGGGACTGCTGTAACAGATTAAAGTTTTGGTTCTCAAACTTTTTTTCTCTGGCCCATATTTTCGGAATTAAAATTTGCTTGCGCTTCCCCAAATTTGATGTAATAAAAAGTACATTTAAAAATCAAGATAAAAAAAACAAAAAAAAAACGGGGATAGAATTAAGTGGGGGGGGCAATCGCCGACCCAAATTCAGAACATTATCATTGATAACTCTCACCTCCAATTTGCGGAACCTAGATATATTAATCTTAACACTTGATATAATGCAAAAATATCACAATGATAAAATCGGTCAATAATTTTTGATAACTATTTATAGTGGGACACATACATGCAATTACAAGTAATCCACAATAATGATTTTTATTTTGAAATCATATTTATTTTTGACATATGATTGATTTCTAAATTTTTGATTGCCTTTCACCTGCTATCCTCTTCCGCCTCACCTTCTATCCTCTTCCGACTCACCTGCTATCCTCTTCCGCCTCAACTGCTATTTCTCTTCCGCCTCACCTGCTATCCTTCTCTGCCGCACCTGCTATCCTCTTTCACCTCATCTGCTATCCTCTTCCTTCCTCTTCGCTACTGGTGGCCCTAAAACAGTTGGAACTTCAGACTTCGCTCTTGGGTTCACTGGAACAATAAGCAATCAATCTTGACAAGGAACGACCATATGTTCGGAGTGAACAGTTCGTTATCAAATGTATAATTTGATATCGAATAATCTGAGTGTAAATAATGTAAATAATGAGAACATTAAGAAAAAGAGTAAAGTGTAGTATCTGCCTAACCAATAAATGAGAGATACCTGCTCTTGGTGATTCCAACCCTGTGGCATTATCTCCCTCATTGCAGCAAAATTGAGAGGGTCGGTGGAATATTGATGCCAGCACGACGTTGGTTGCAGGGACTGGATAATTTGGGGCCTTGTCCATGTCCTAGGCGCTTGGGACACCACTTTAAACTGGCTTTATGACATATCTCGTCACCACGGGGGACGAGTAAATGCTAAGAAAAAGAGGCGCTAATGTTAATTGTAAAACGTAGTGAAAATTGGCCTAGTCTCGATTGGTCTATTTTAGACCCAGAATTGAATGCGAAAGTCACACATTAGCCAATCTCATTCAATGATATTTCATTGACAACGCCCTCAATACATTCATATGGTCTAAAGAGTGATATAGGCTAATCCTATTTTTTCTAGACTGGGATGGGGTTAATCTGGTTGGATTTAGTTGAGTAAAAGTACATAAGATTCTCTCCGGATAACGGTAGACAGTATATTTTTGTTTTTATAGAGGCCTCTGAAATTTTCACTCATCTGTTGTATTTACGAGTAAAAGTTGCAGCACTTTATAACGATTTAATGAAAGAAATTAAATTTCTTGGGTTAAGTCTAAAAGCACCTTGGTTAGTCATTTTCACTCAGATAAAAATAAAAGTTCTAGCTGGAAAGAATTATAAAATTGCCTGGAAGGAAAAGCAGATAGGAGAACTAAATGTTGAACATTTTTTGTTTCAATAAAATTAATGCTGAAATAAAAAAAAGTATTTTAGTTTTATTTAAGAATCTGAAGTAACTTTTACGCTAAACAATATAGGGTATTACATTTCCTGTCGATTTTTACTTATTTTACAGACTAGAATATGAGAAGAATTATTTGGTACTTTCTAAATTTTAATATTAATGACATGAATATCGATCATTATCAAATATATTATATAAAATGAATCGCTAATAGATTTCTGTCAATAATGAATAATAGAAAAACCGAGTAATTTCGATTCAAGAATTGTTCCTGTTGTGTCGGAAACCTACCACCCCTCTTGAAGATGAACTTGTCTGCGAACAAAGACTTTAAATAGTGGCATGTCAGTTGACATGGGAGAAGACAGAAAGACAGAGAATTTCTTAGCTGAGCTAGTTATTGACTACTCAGGCGATTTCTGTACCTTTTTACCAACCTATTAAAACCCATTTTATTGTTACGTGTTATTTGGCGTTTGTCTCTACTAACCAAATCAACATCATAACAGTTCCATAGTTTATCATTTACATCTGGCATCAGACATTCACTTGTGAAAATGACTCATAATTAGGGATACAAGGTCTTCCAACGACATATTCTCCCATTTGAATATATCGAGAAAAGTTTGAGTCGATTTGATATGTTTCTAACTAGTCAGATATATCTTAGAGCGAATATGTACATTCTCCCCTTAAGATTTCATGAGTGATACACCATTTAATACGCTGGAATACTGTGTGGCCATCGGATTCACAATGCCGGCCAAAATAATTTGTTCCTGTTTCGTTCTGGGATTTTTTGGGGGGAGAAAAAGACCACCGATTCTCCCATGTTTGACAGCAACCGTTGAATACCCACATTTGCCTCTCTCCCAGATCTGGCCTTTAACAAAATTAAATCGATGAAATTAAAAGAAACAGAGCGATGTAGCTGCTGACGATCCCGAATTTGGAAGAGACTGTTTAATAAAGCAGAAGGCGATGCAATATGAGTCCTGATGTCACAAAGGGAGACAATTGATTCTGGATTCTAGTGATGCTCCCTTAGTAAAGCTATATTTTCCTTAATATAAAATGGCTTCCTTGTGAACAGATCAAATATCTATCTATCTATCTATGTCAGTCTGTTCATACTTTCCTCTATCTATCTCAGTATTTTAATATGTGTCTATCTGTCTATCCCAGTCTTTTCATCTCTTTCTCTCTCTCTCTATCTCATTTCCTTCATATTTCCCTCTTTCTGTCTATCTATCTCAGTCTTTTCATATGTGTCTATCTGTCTGTTCATATCTATCTATATATATATATATATATATATATCAGTTTGTTCATACTTCCCCCCTCTCTATCTCTCAGTTTTTTCACATATATCTATCTATCTGTCTATCTCAGTCTGTTCATTTTTCTCTATCTATCAATATGTTCATACTTCCCTCTCTCTTTCTCTATCTATCTCAATCTTTTCATATGTGTCTATCTGTCTCAACCTGTTCATCCCTCTCTCTCTCTCTCTCTCTCTCTCTCTCTCTCTATCTATCTATCTATCTATCTATCTGTCTGTCTCAGTGTGTTCATACTTCCCTCTCTCTCTCTATCTCAGTCTTTTCATATGTGTCTATCTATCTTAGCCTGATCTATCTATCTATCTATCTATCTATCTATCTATCTATCTATCTATCTATCTATCTATCTAAATGTCCTTCAGCAGAGAATAAATTAATTTTACATTTAACTTCGTAAACTGACATAAACCGAAATAATGTGTTCTTCGACTGTCATTTCAGGTAATATTTAAACACTTACCGCGACATATCATTTCATGTCTCAAGGATCTTAGGTAAAATCTTCTGGTCGACAAGTGATCATTTATAATCCGTAAATTGATCCGGAGATATGTCCTCAATATACATTATCGACTATGTTATGGATGACAGAAACATTTTATAAATCAATTACAATTCATGACTAAAATCCAGACACTGGAACGAAATTAATATCATTTATCTGTTTGATCTACGATTATATTTGAAAATTATTGCTGGTAAATTCGATGAAGGATAACTTCTTTTTCTTTTATTTGCCGTATCCCTTCAAAGACGTGGGAAATCATGACCCTCCACAACCTCCGAACTCTTGTAGGTGTTCCGTATCCTAAGCCATCCATTTCGGTAATCTATTGACTTCCGCTGTCCGTTTTACCTTTTGTATGTCGTGTGAGTGTCAAACTCTCCAGGCTTTTCTTCCTTTTTGTCCTTATTATGTGTCCATTGTTAAATACAATTTCAAGAGACGATCCATCGGCCTTGATAGCTGCGAAATTACTACCCAAGCCCGTACTATTGAAGCCCGTGCTACCTGGAGGAGAACTTGCAAAGTGGGCATCGATGTGTTTGAGAACAGGCATACCAGTCTCCTTATTGAGAAACGTGCCAAGAGAAAGACGAATAGTAGAACTCAGAACCCACTTTATCAATACAGTATCTGCAATAGGCTTGCGGCTCTAGAATTGGACTCTACTCTCACGAAAGGACTCATCGGTAATGTGTCGATAGAATGCTCAGGCGTTTGCTGACGACGCGAGACTCAATCATCATCATGTGTCCAAGAAATTTCTTTCTGATTCTGAGTAAATGTCATTTTTCATTCCATTTTCTTTCAGATTTCTGGTGGCTTTTAATTTGAAAATAATCATTTAGCTTTCTTTTCGAAAAAATCTTTCGTGGATAAATTAGATTCAGATGCCATGATAAAAAAATAATGAAGTCTATTCATAATGAGCGTCTCAAAAAAGGCGCTACTTTTCAGTAGGTACGTTTGGCTACTTTAACTAAAAGTTTTGTTAAAACATCAAAATTTCATTGATTATTTCGTCTGATTTCTGATTAATTTTTTAATCGTTTCATTCAAAACAAGACAATGAGCAAAGATGCAAGGAGAAAGAGGAGAAAATAAAACGTTATTAAGAAGAGAGAAGAATAAAAGAACAAGAATTAAAAAAGTCAGAAGATAACGATTAACATTTCATTTAAATTATTGACGATCAAAGATGACTGGAAAACTAGAAACCCGAAGAGAATTCCACAAGTAAGAAGTGTGAGAGAAGAAACTGTTAGCATAGAACTTACGGTTACATATAACCATTTAAATTGTAAAATGATAAGACCTTGCCGACAATCGAGTACTGTGCTTAAATTCTTAAATCTAGGTACCATAGAGAAGAGTCCATAGAAACAATTACCTTGAAAGTACTTATAGAAAAAGCACAGGAAAGCTAAGTTACGGCAGTGGGAAAGGCACTGAAGCCGAGATACCAGGTTAAGAACAGTAAAATCACAGCTTCATCGTTCAATTGTATCAAGAATCTCCAAATACACAACAGGAGCCTGAAACCAGATGTAGCAGTAAAATTTAAAGCAAGAACGAATGGTAGACTTATAAATATATAAGATAGATTGTGGTGAGAAAAATTGTCTAACACGACACAGTGAATCAACTTTCTTCGCAGTAAACCTAGCAATGGATTCAATATAAGTAATCCATTTCATGTCAGTAGAAAACTTTAGTCCTAGAATGCCTAATATGTTACTCTTATGGGGGTTAGCATGTCGATTTTATTGTTTTTAAACTCCAATCTTCCATGACACAGCAAAAACAGTAAAATCGACCTTGCTAATCAAACGATCCTCCGTGGCTCGATCGGTTAAGGCACGTCAGGCTAAATGACGGTTCCGTATAGGATGCAGGTTCGATTCCTGTCGAAGAACGAATATTTTATATGAAAATTTCTCGGACATTCAGGCCGGTAAATGTTGTTTAATACTGTTTATTAAGAAACAGAGCATTTACTTAAATATTTGTATCTATAAAAAGAATGTATAAACATAAAATTGTCTTAAAATAATTGTCGGACTTTGTCTATTTCATAACATATATATATATATATATATATATATATGACGATGTTGAGACAAAGGTGAAATCTGATTAACTACGAGTTCCGCCGGTGGAGCGTGTACTCTCTGTGGTTTCCTGAGCTTAAAAGGAAAGACAAAACTGTCTGCGAGGAAAATGCCTCGGGATTAAATTAAATTAATTAACCTAGCTTATCACCTTCTAATATTGAGAGATAAAAAAGTGTCTGTCCGCCTGTGTGTTTGTTTTATCTGTAGGATATTAAATCAGGAATTTTCTCATGTGCAAATGTGTGTGCGTGCGTATGTATGTATGTACAGCTATAAATCGAAGGGCGTGTATATGTGTATGTACAAGTATGCCAAAATGCTCTAATATATGTATATGCCTGGATGGATATGTATGTATGTACACGAGTGCGCAAGTGTGTTTATATATATATATATATATATATATATATATATATATATATATATTAAGGTACATAGACGACATCTTCCTCATATAGACACACGGAGAGAACAATCTCCGGGATTTTAAAATAACACCATAATAATTTCCACGATGCCATTAAATTTAATATGGAATATACTACCACTTTCATTCCGTTTCTAGACACACTGGTGCGTCTCAGTGATAACCACATCTCTACTACACGATACACCAAACCTACTGACCGTCATTGGTTCCTTAATTTCAATAGCTGCCATCCCACACACTTAAAAAAATATAATCTACAGACAAATCTTACGCATTAAACGCATCTGTTCATGCAAGGAAGATTATAAAATACACATAGGACAACTTTGCAATCACTGTCTTAATACGAATTACCTACTCACAAAGAATCTATCAGCAAAGTTTCCAAACATAAGAGAAACATTCTCTTCAACTATGTAAGTAGGAGGAATAATTCCAGAATCCCGATGGTCTTTTATTTTAATTATAACATTCGCAAACTTTCCTACACCTTAACTAGAGATTTCCAACATTTAAAACTATACAATACTATCAGTAAATTATTTAGTAATACCCCCCTCCCCACACATGCACACGCGAGGTGACATCCCCCAACCACTTCAGACTTTTAACATCATCCAACATCTGCAACACTTTATCTCACACTTTTTATATATTATTTTTATTATAAAAGATTATAATAAAAACATTTTGAAATCGCTACGCAAATGCTTTCATATTTCAATACTTTGATTGTACTTCCACATGCCAAATACTTACCATTGCCTGAAGAGGTACAATCATAGTGTTGAAACAGGAAAGCTTCTGTGTAACGATTTCAATATTACGTTTTATTATAAGATAAGGTCTTATAATAAATACGTACAGTGCAATTTTAATCCATCTGCTCTTTCTCATTTGTATATATATATATATATATATATATATATATATATATATATATATATATATATATATATATATATATATATATATGTATGAAGTTATTGTTCTACAGGTAATAATCATTCTTGGGGAGTTATATTTAGGCAGCAAGTATTCATCAAAACAAGATTGATTAAAAAGTACCGACAACATTAGTCTGTTTAATTCTTCAGGTTCATTTGTGTTTCTTCAACACCCACAGAGCCAACCTGTGGTTTATACTGTAACTATGCTGAGCAGACCTTAGTTACAAACTCTGGTAGAGAGCATGTTATCTAGCGTGATCAAATCAATATGAACAAAGCCATCACACTCAAACCCTCCGTGCCAGAACAGCTATCGACGACCCCCAAGTGTTCCGCCTACCAAATTTCATATTTTATCTATGTATTTGTTCGTGTTTTTATAGGTAACTTCTTGTCATATATATCATATGGTAAAGAATGGCTTCTTTTACTTCTAATTCCTGTAATGAATATTTCAAAACTTCATGGACATAAAGAGGGAAAATATGGTGTGACGTTTTAATGAGCTTGTCTGAAAATTAAGGAATAACTTTTTCATCGATGCAGTTTCTAATAAAGTTTTTCTTGTTTTTTTTTTATGTGAATAAGCGGATGTATTTTCTGATTATATGTGTGTGTGTGTTTGTTTCCAGGTCGACAAATAAGTAAAAAAATATCAAAATTAACATGTAGAAAAAGACATTATGTATTAGGATAAAAGCGACAATAGGAAAACTATTGTTTAGCCGACGCGTTTTGTCCAATGTGGACTGTTCCAATGCAGAAATCGTAATCGATAATAATGGATAAATACATTTAGCAACATTTACCGAATATAACATATATGAAAAAGTAAACGAAAACAAAGTTAAAACGGAAACACAAAAATTTACAAGCGACATCAAAAAGCTAAAAAAATGAAGACTTCACATGGATAAAACTTATTGAACACCATCGTAAAAGCACCCACATTATACGCATTACCAGAAACACATAAACTGAACATACCAATCAGATTAATCATATCAGGAATAGGCAGCGTTCCACATAAACTAGCCGGTACACTAAGCAAAATCTTAACCCCACCGCTCGGCATTATTAGTCAATCACACATAAAAATTCAGGTGACCTCTTAAATAAATTAAAAATAAGCAGATATTAAAATCACATATATGGCTAGTTTAGACATAAAATCTTTATACGCAAATTGCGACATTGCATGTTCCAACATTTTATAAGTCTTAATAATAATACACTTAAAAAACATCTTTCGATTTGTATTACATTTATTTTCGTCTCGGAAGTTACCTGTACTTTCCTGAAAAGGAAAAAAATAATATCTATGCCTGAAGATAATCTTAAGAATTATCAAAAGTACTAGCATATATAACGAACATACGGAACATCTAATCCATTTTA